CTGGGTCATTGCAGCAGATTGGAATTTTAGCCCCAGCGCCCTGGTAAAAAAAAATTGGTTTTCTGGAGCGCACTGGGGGGCTGATTTTGTGTAGCAATGCCGGTTTCACTTGCGCCCCTGGGGGGGATCAGAAGCCATCTCACCTCGACTATCTGGTGGTATGTCCTTCAGCTAGGGCGTACATTCGGGCTGTCACTGCTGTTTGTGCCGTCCCATGGAAACCACGCATCGGATTGTTCATCGAGTTAGTGTCGACTGGCAGTCAACTTTTCACCCGCTTTCTCGAGCTCCCCCCGAGGCTTCCCCGAGTCTCCAGGCCGTCGAAGCAGGCGGTCGAGGGGTCCAAGTCTAGTGTAAATAAGGCCAAGAGGGATCTCGCTAAGCAGGCTGCTCGTGAGAAGAGGCATGCGAAAATTCGAGAATGGTTTGGAGAGAGTTTAGAGTCCCGTCGGCAGGAAGGTGATGAGAGCCAGGAGGGTACAGACGACGAGACCGACAAGGCCTCGGAGGCCTCCAGCTACCATCGCGCCGCTGATTGGGACAACATCTCCGAGTACGACCCGTGGGCTGACGAGAGCAACTTCACCACTGTTGCGCCGCCCGCGGCCCCGCCTGCTCCTGTCTTGCACGCCTCTCTCACAGTCGAGTCTCACACAGCCGCACCTCAGCCTCAGGAGACCGAGCGCCCCCCGAGCACAGCACCCAGCCCTACAGATGGAGAGGTCCACGGGTCTCACGCATCGGAGGTGTTGTCTCAATCGGTGAGCTCAGGGTCCCCCGTGGAGTTTTCAGTCAGCGGTGAAACCTGGGTGCAAGCGAGGAAAAACGTCGGGTTCGTCCCGAGTGCTGCCTGCTTGCCTGCTGATGCTGTTGCCAAGTCCGTAGCTTTTTGGATCGGATCCCAGGATTCGGCAGCCCCACACATCAGTGCACTTTATTGTAGCTGGGTCCGCACGGTGGAAGAGGCAGTCCACGCCCACCACCAGCAGGCCACTCCATCCTTGTCGCGAGGGCAAGCGGCGAGGTTTCGTATCGGCACGGTGCAGCAGTCGACGGCTCAGAGGCTGGAACCACTACACGACAAGGTTTGTGGCTGGTGGACTCGGCTGGCTACCGCACTTTCGGCTCTGCTCCAACACCGTCGTCGGGACAACGGTTGCAAGCAGCAGGGCATCCTCATTCAGGCTATCGGCGCGCTCCAAAGGGCCATTCCTGAGGAGGCGCACCGAGTGTTTCGGAGGCGGGACCCCCACACCTGGTCACAGTGGAAGTTGTTTCTGCAAGTGGTGGTGTCAGGCGATCCCTCCGAGGCAGACTTATCGAGCGGTTGCGACTTCGCCAACAAGCTTGCCAAGCGGAGCCAGCAACGAGCAATACATCGATATATTTCTTCCTTTCGTGACTGGGCCGAGTCGGCACCAGCCGTCAGCGCCCTGCACAAGGCTATAAGGTCCTCGCCTCTAGTTCCCGATTCAGTCGAAGTTGGTGATCGAACACTCATCCATCCGAGAGACGTGCTTGATTATAAAACCCAGCAGTGGCGTGAGTTGTGGGCCCCACAGGGGGAGGACCATGAGCAGCTGCTTGACCTCTTTGGCGTCATCAGGCGCCGCGTCCAGGAGGAGGCGCTGCCGCCCATCGAGGTCGCCGACCTTCGTGCAGCGCTTCGACGTATGAAGCCCTCCTCGGCGATGGGTGTTGATCGGCTGTGTTCGTTGGATGTGGATCGCCTGCCAGACATAGCGCTGGCCGAATTGGCTGCACTGCTCACACTATGTGAACAGCATCAAGTGTGGCCACATCAGATTTTGATCACCATCGGTACATTATTACCAAAGAAGAGCAATGGAGACCGAGTTATAGGGCTCCTCTCGCATTTCGCGAGGATGTGGTCACAATCACGAGAAGGTTTTGTGAAAACATGGACGGACGAGTGCGAGTCGCACTGGGATGCCGCAGCGCGCGGCAACTCAGCTGTTCGGGAAGTTTTTCTTCGGGCTGTCGACGAAGAACTGGCTGGACGACTTGGAGTTGCGCACGGGCATGGTTTATGTGATATAGTTCAATTTTACGACAGTGTGGGTTGGCATCGCATCGCTGCAGCTGCTCTTCGTTTGGAGTTCCCCGCAGAGATTCTTGGGCTTGAACTTCAGCAATGCATTGCTGTGAGGTGCGTTCGCCAATCAGGTGCATACGGGCCCCCATTTTGCCCGACGCGCTCCATCGTGCAGGGGCTGAGGGCAGGAACGAGGTTCGGTAAATGCGCCACACATTTTATCATGCCCAGGATCACCACCGCTCACGTGAACATGTCACATCGTTTGTGGGTGGACGATATGTCGCAAGTTGCTCGGGGTTCTAGACTTGAGATGCGGCGGCAGATGGTCAGATGCCTCCTCGACACTTGTCAGAACATGGAGTCTGCAGGGCTGAAGATCTCTCCCAAGAGCGTCGTGATCTGCAGCCACATCGATGATGCCCGCATCATCACTCGTAGAGTTGCAGCTCGCGGGTACAAGCTCAGGTACGCCAGCCAAGCTCCCTACCTTGGTGCTGATTTGGGCGGAGGCCGCAGGCAGGGTCGAGCAACACGAAGGTCACGTGCCGTCAAGCACTATGCGATGTCGGTCAAGATCACTCGGTCTGCTCGCACACTTCGGCGATATCGCGTTACCCGTCGCCTCGAGCAGCAAGGAGCGGCTCCTGCGGGGCTCTACGCCCATCATCTCCACGGCGTCTTCGGGGGCCAGATGGCGCCGGTGATAAGGCAACTTGCCAACGCGTCAGCCCCGAGGTTGACGGGCAGGTGCGTCACCACGCTCCTCGACCTCAAGACGCCGTTGAGGGATCCTGCCTACAGGCTCCCGCTGGACACGCTGAGGATGTGGCTGACCACGTGGGTGTCTGAGGCACATCTCCGAGCTGGCGTGAACCGCACCTGGACGGACATCGTTCGGGAGTTGGCGGCCCTCCCGCCCGCGCAGCGGTGTCGGAGGATTCGGGGACCTCAGGCTACGGTCATCACCTACCTTCTGAATGCAGGGTGGACTCCTACAGCGGCCAGCTCTTGGGATATTCCCGACGGCACGTGCAGCTGGGACTTCAATGAGCAAGGTCTAACAGGATGTGCAGCCATCGACATCCCTGAGAGTTTCTTTCAAGAATTTCAAGCTTCTGTTCAGACCAACTTGTGGGTTGACGCTGCCAAACATTTCGGCGGCAGTGGGATGGAAGGCGGGATATGTAATCATTCTTATAGGCAGTTACTTCAGCAATTGGAGCAAGGACCTGGCGGGCCACGTCTGGCAGGCCTCATGCTTGCAGCAGCGACAGGAGCTTCTTGGCCCAGGACCAGGCGGCAAACGCGTTGCAAGCAGCAGATTGCTGAGGAGTGTCCACGGTGCCGAGCGGCGCCCGAGACCAGTTTCCACAGGATCTGGGGCTGCGAGTCTCGTTCAGACAGTCCAGTCTACAAGTTGGGCGAATCGTACGTCAGCAAGGCCTACGCCCAGGCCGACGCTGAGGAGTTTTTCTGGACAAGGGGTCTTTTGCCATCATCTTGGGTTGCTGTCGAGAGCCCGCCCGATCGCGAGGTTTGGCACGTCTCGGCAGGATCAGAGTTTGTCGGGTTCGGCAGAGGAACGGCATCACACCCATTATACTTGTTCGGCGACGCCAGTGGAGGCAAGGAAACGCACCACCCTCTCCACCGTCGCGTCGGTATAGGCATCGCTCTCTTTCGGTCGTTAGACGATGACATGCACATAGATTTTGGCACGTGGTCTGCTCTCCCAGGGTGTAGGCAGACAGTAGCTCGAGGTGAACTGTATAGTCTGTGGGTTTGTGTTCGCGAGAGTGCGGGACATATCATATACACCACAGATAATGCTGCAGTGTGTTCAGGCTGGTACGAATCTCGCTGGCTCTCCCCCGCGGGCCCCGACGCCGACCTGTGGTGGCGCATAGGGCAAGAGTTATCTCGTAAGCCAGATTTGCATTGCACGGTTCTGTTCATTAATTCTCACCTTGGAGCTGAGCACATGATAGGAGAGCATTCGTCTAGGTACATTATCGTCGGCAACGCAGTAGCAGATGAGTTCGCAGCAGCTGGAGCTGCAGTTGCACGCTTGTCTGAAGGCACACGCGCGCGAGTACATAGTGCAGAACATATGGCTTTTGCTGTGCGCATGCGCATTCTCCAGAGCACGTTAGAGGCCATACATGCAGAGGAGCTCTTGTCACAGGCTGAGGGTTTTGGCACTCGGCGTAGGCAACGTAAATCTTCTGTGGTCGTTCAGCCCCCAGCAGCAAGTGTTTGTGCAATGTTCGCCTCGTCGCACCACCTCGGTGAGAACGGCCGTTGTTGCACGCGATGTAAGGGGTCGACCGCACTCGCATGTAAGAACGAGTGGCTGAGCTCACCGTGTTTTGATCTAATTAGTGTGGACGGCGTCATATGTAGACCTCCTCCTGGGCAAAGGGTGCACATTATGGGGGGGTACGCTCATGGGTCTCACACTCTTCGGTATCACACGGGGCTGAGGTTGTGGTTCTGTTTCGTTTGCGGGAGTTTTGCAGCTGAACAGCTGACACAGCTTGGCAAGGAATGCAGTACACGCCTCGACGGTAATCGAATCGATTATCGTAAGCGTATTCTCCAGGGTCTGTGGCCTAAGGTCTACAGCAAGAGGGAACAGGCCAGAAGAGCCAGGAAGCAGCGGGTTTAATCTGCTTCCACTCGTAACCGACACAGTCGCCATACCCGTAACTCCGTAACTCCTCCTCCTCCTCCTCCTCCTCCTCCTCCTCCTCCTCCATCCCTCCTCCTCCTCCCCCTCCTCCTCCTCCTCCTCCTCCTCCTCCTCCTCCTCGTCGGTTGCAGCAGCACCTCTATAACACTGACCCTCCAGAAGGGGAGCCTTGGTTTCGTGCACTACGTAATGGTATACGTGCCGTAAAAGACCAGCGGGCTCTTGGGGCCCTTGCTGCCGTCTGGGGGAATGTGGTTCCGCTACCTGCTGCACTATCTGCTCTGCAATATGATGTACTACCTGAGTGCCTCGCCTGCTCCGCTCCGCAAGGCACGTACGGACACGTGTGGTATGCCTGCTCTAAGTTCATCACCGACGACGGGGTTGACGCTTTGGGTGACGAGGTTCCTGAGGCCCTGGCTAGGCATAGGCGCGTGTTGATCCAGTCTCGGGCCTCTATAACTGGGGAGCCCGATGTGCACTCTAATTATTTAACTTATGGCATTCCTCCCTTGCCCACCAATATTCCCGCTCCGCTAGCCAACCCACCTGTTTTTGAGTTTGGGGACGTCTCTGGGTCCTGGGGCCCTCAGTCTTTCACTGATGGTAGTTGCTATCACTCTGGGGTCCCAGAGGTCTCCAGAGCTGGTTGGAGCGTTGTGCAGTTATTTGATTGTCTGCTTCCCCTGAGGGCCGTATATGGAGCGCTCCCAGGTGAGCGTCAGACCATAGGTCGTGCAGAACGCTGGGCTGTGCGGCAGGGTCTGGCTTTTCACCCGCAGCATCAGAGTATTGTTTCGGACCTCCAGGCTGTTGTGCGAGAAGGCAATTCTTGGAGCCAGCATCTTTCCCAAGGCATGTCCAAGCATGCCTCGATCTGGAGGTCCATATTTGATCTTAAGTCTTATCACCCCCAGTTTTCTTGGTTCCCAGCCCATCTGAGTTTCGATGACGTTTTGGAGCGTGGTCTGTGTGTCAAAAGTTGGGCTGGGAATCTGTGGGCTGACTTCTTCGCCAAACTAGGGGCCAGCTCTCACACGCTGGCTGAGGGTTTT